CACTGGGGGTCCTCGTGTACACCGGGGGTCCTCGTGTGCACCGGGGGTCCTCGTGTGCACACTGGGGGTCCTCGTGTGCACCGGGGGTCCTCGTGTGCACTGGGGGTCCTCGTGTGCACCGGGGGTCCTCGTGTGCACCGGGGGTCCTCATGTGCACTGGGGGTCCTCGTGTGCACACTGGGGCTCCTCGTGTGCACCGGGGGTCCTCGTGTGCACACCGGGGGTTCTCGTGTGCACCGGGGGTCCTCGTGTGCACACTGGGGGTCCTCGTGTGCACTGGGGGTCCTTGTGTGCACATTGGGGGTCCTCGTGTGCACCGGGGGTCCTCGTGTGCACCGGGGGTCCTCGTGTGCACCGGGGGTCCTCGTGTGCACCGGGGGTCCTCGTGTGCACTGGGGGTCCTCGTGTGCACATTGGGGGTCCTCGTGTGCACCGGGGGTCCTCGTGTGCACCGGGGGTCCTCGTGTGCACTGGGGGTCCTCGTGTGCACTGGGGTCCTCGTGTGCACACTGGGGGTCCTCGTGTGCACCGGGGGTCCTCGTGTGCACCGGGGGTCCTCGTGTCCACCGGGGGTCCTCGTGTGCACCGGGGGTCCTCGTGTGCACTTGGTGTCCTCGTGTGCACTGGGGGTCCTCGTGTGCACTGGGCGTCCTCGTGTGCACACTGGGGGTCCTCGTGTGCACTGGGGGTCCTCGTGTGCACCGGGGGTCCTCGTGTGCACTGGGGGTCCTTGTGTGCACACTGTGGGTCCTCGTGTGCACACTGGGGGTCCTCGTGTGCACTGGGGGTCCTCTTGTGTACCGGGGGGTCGTGTGCACACTGGGGTTCCTCATGTGCACCGGGGGTCCTCGTGTGCACCGGGGGTCCTCGTGTGGACACTGGTGGTCCTCGTGTGCACACTGGGGGGTCCTCGTGTACACCGGGGGTCCTCGTGTGCACTGGGGGTCCTCATGTGCACTGGGGGTCCTCGTGTGCACCGGGGGTCCTCGTGTGCACTGGGGGTCCTCGTGTGCACACTGGGGGGTCCTCGTGTGCACCGGGGGTCCTCGTGTGCACTGGGGGTCCTCATGTGCACACTGGGGGTCCTCATGTGCACACTGGGGGCCCTCGTGTGCACTGGGGGTCCTCGTTTGCTCTGGGGGGTCCTCGTGTGCACACTGGGGTCCTCGTGTGCACTGGGGCTCCTCGTGTGCACTGGGGTCCTCGTGTGCACACTGGGGGTCCTCTTGTGCACCGGGGGTCCTCGTGTGCACTGAGGGTCCTTGTGTGCACTGGGGGTCCTCGTGTGCACACTCGGGGTCCTCTTGTGCACACTGGGGGTCCTCGTGTGCACTGGGAGTTCCTCGTGTGCACTGGGGGTCCTCGTGTGCACACTGGGGTCCTCGTGTGCACTGGGGGTCCTCGTGTGCACACTGGGGGTCCTCGTGTGCACTGGGGGTCCTCGTGTGCACTGGGGGTCCTCGTGTGCACACTGGGGTCCTCGTGTGCACCGGGGGTCCTCGTGTGCACCGGGGGTCCTCTTGTGCACCTGGGGTCCTCGTGTGCACCGGGGGTCCTCGTGTGCACACCGGGGGTCCCGTCCACCGGGGGTCCTCGTGTGCACCGGGGGTCCTCGTGTGCACTGGGGTTCCTCGTGTGCACTGGGGTTCCTCATGTGCACCGGGGGTCCTCGTATGCACCGGGGGTCCTCGTGTGCACCGGGGGTCCTCGTGTCCACCGGGGGTCCTCCTGTGCACTGGGGGTCTCGTGTGCACTGGGGGTCCTCGTGTGCACACTGGGGGTCCTCTTGTGCACACTGGGGGTCCTCGTGTGCACACTGGGGGTCCTCTTGTGCACACTGGGGGTCCTCGTGTGCACTGGGAGGTCCTCTTGTGCACTGGGTGTCCTCGTGTTCACTGGGGGTCCTCGTGTGCACACTGGGGTCCTCGTGTGCACACTGGGGGTCCTCGTGTGCACTGGGGATCCTCGTGTGCACTGGGGGTCCTCGTGTGCACACTGGGGTCCTCGTGTGCACCGGGGGTCCTCGTGTGCACCGGGGGTCCTCGTGTGCACACCGGGGGTCCCGTCCACCGGGGGTCCTCGTGTGCACACTGGGGGTCCTCGTGTGCACCGGGGGTCCTCGTGTGCACTGGGGTCCTCGTGTGCACCGGGGGTCCTCGTGTGCACTGGGGTCCTCGTGTGCACTGGGGGTCCTCGTGTGCCCCAGGTGTCCTTTAGCCCACCTGGGTTCTTCGAGTCCAGGGAGATCACAGGAAAACCCCTGCCCGCTGTGGAGCAATCCTAAGACCCAGGCACCAGACACCCACTCCTCCCCGGCTGCCCAGGCGGTGGGCACCAGCCCCTGCTCCTCCCAGCACCAGCCCAAGGGTGCATTGGAAGCCGGGCTGCCCGGCCCCTGGGCTTCCACATGGGGCACAGCTTTGCCCACCCGCAGCCCACTCTCAGTGGGTCCTGGCCCAAGGGAGATGTTTGGGGGCTGGGAAGGGGACCCTAGGAAGACCCAGCCGGGAGGAACAACTTCCCTCTCCATGGCACTCTGAGCAGAGGCTCTATGCGGAGTTCACGGAGTCAGGCTCCTGGGATAGCCTCGGCTGTGGCAGGGAGACCAGGCAAGCCTGACCCCTGTGTGGTCCCAGCAAAGGTCACCGGCAGAGGCAGACGGATTCCAGCCCAGCAGGGGACCGCACTGCCCATCCTGCGTCTGCTCCCTCTGGCTCTCCTCCCTGAGGCCCGCTGTGCCGGCGGCTTGTTCTCTGGGACCCGTGGGTTCTCTCCCCCGACCTGCCCTGGTGAGCCCACCCTGGGTTGTGGCCATCCATGATAATCCCCCTCCCACTAGGGAAGCAGTAGCGGCCCTGTGCAGAAGGCACGCGGGGCTAGCTGGTGTGGTGGGATGTGGCGTGGGCCCCCAGCCACCAGCCCCCGGCAGAGGCGGGGCACGGCTGACGAGCACTGGGAGGGACGGTGGAGCTGGGATCTCAGGAGGAAGGGGCACAGCAGCATCTGGGGTGTGGAGGGGCCGGACGGCTGCAGGAGAAGCCCCGCAGACCGGTGCTCAAATCTGTCCATCTGACAGCGTGCCATGTCCCAGAGACGGGGCACGGGCTCCCCTCCCCAGAGCGGAGGCTCTGGGCCAGTGGGATGAGGGCCCAAGGGGTCAGGTGGACCCTGGGGGTCGGGCCGTGGGACAATGACTTCCCAGGCCCAGGCCTATAAATAGCCGAGGCCCGGGGTGGGGGCAGTGTCGGCCTTTTCTAAAAACAGCCCATCAGGACCAACAGCTGAGCCCAGGGTGGTCACGTGGTCCAGCTCAAATTAGAACCCCCGCCCCTGCACAGGCCTGTCACGGGGCGGTGGCAGTCAGCAAGCTCAGGATCCCAGCTTCGCTGCTGGCTCCCCTGACAAATAGTCTGGACGAAGCAGGCCCAGAGGGTGTGTGTGTGTGGTGTGTGTGTGTTTGGTATGTGTGTGGTGTGTGTGTGTGTGTGGTGTGTGTGTGGTATGTGTGTGGTGTGTGGTATGTGTGTGTGGTATGTGGTATGTGTATGTGTGGTATGTGTGGTGTGTGTGTGTGTGTGGAGTATGTGGTGTGTGTGTGGTATGTGTGTGTGGTGTGTGTGTGTGTGGTGTGTGGAGTATGTGTTGTGTGTGTGGTATGTGTGTGGTGTGTGTGTGGTATGTGTGCGTAGTGTGTGTGTGGTATGTGTGTGGTGTGTGGTATGTGTGTGGTGTGTGGTATGTGTGTGGTGTGTGGTATGTATGTGTGGTGTGTGGTATGTGTGTGGTGTGTGGTATGTGTGTGGGGTGTGTGTGTGTGGAGTATGTGGTGTGTGTGTGGTATGTGTGTGTGTGGTGTGTGTGTGGTGTGTGGTATGTGTATGTGTGTGTGGTATGTGTGGAGTATGTGGTGTGTGGTATGTGTGTGTGTGGTATGTGTGTGTGATGTGTGTGTGGAGTATGTGGTGTGTGTGTGGTGTGTGTGTGTGGTGTGTGTGTGTGGTGTGTGTGTGGAGTATGTGGTGTGTGTGTGGTGTGTGTGTATGTGGTGTGTGTGTGTGTGTGGAGTATGTGGTGTGTGTGTGTGTGTGGTGTGTGTGTAGTATGTGGTGTGTGTGGTGTGTGTATGTGGTGTGTGTGTGTGGAGTATGTGTGTGTGGTGTGTGTGTGTGGTGTGTGTGTGGAGTATGTGGTGTGTGTGTGGTGTGTGTGTGTGTGTGTGTGTAGTATGTGGTGTGTGTGTGTGTGGTTTCTACTCCCCAGGCCAGGGTCACGCATGACCTCTGCCCGGCCCGCACACTGGCTCCCTGGCTGTCCTAGGAGCTGGCTCAAAGGCTGCAGGGGAGGGTGGAGACCTGATCAAGTCAGCCTGATAAGGGTACAAGTAGGACCCCCCAGCCTGCTGTGTGGGTGAGGGCCCTGGTGGGGTCCAAGCCAGACCAAGGAGAGGGCCACCTACCAACACTGTCTTCCCGCCCTTCCCGTCCACCGTTCCTCCTTACCCCCTCCACCCTCCCAGCGCTGTGGAGAAGCCAGCCTCCACCTCCCCACTCTCCCCAGCCTCTACACACCACCCACGTGGCTGGCCAGCGCTGTGGAGAAGCCAGCCTCCACCTCCCCACCCTCCCCAGCCTCTACACGCGACCCACGTGGCTGGCCAGGGCTGTTTTATTATCCATGCCCTGCTGGCCTCTGCCTCAGCAGCACATACTGGGCGGGGGGGGGGGGAGGGAGAGGGAAAGGGGGAGGACAGGCTGTCCTGGGTGGAGGCTGCTGCGGTCATCCTGTGGGTCAAGCAGGCCCTTCTCACCGGGGGCTGGGCGGCCAAGCAGCTGTTCCATCTCCACAAGAGGGCCGATGCAGGGTTGGTGGCCAGGCCCGCCTGTGGCCACCCTTGGGGACTGGCACACGGTCAGGCCAGACTCATGGCAGGGGCCTGGGCTTGCCGCCCTGCCTCCCTCACGTCCCCACCATCCCCCCATGGGTCATACTTCGGTGGACGGAGGCAGGCGGGGGAGCTGGAGCCACACTAGCGGATAACATGGCAGCAGACAGGAAGCCACTGCCCCTCCCTGCGGTGCGTGCCGTGCGGGTTGGGTACAAAGCAGATGGCAAGGCTGCGTGCAGGTGGCCTGGGACGCCAGGCCAGGCCCAGGCCGGACGCCTGTGGCCGCCCTGACTGGGAAAGGCACGGAGTTTTCATTTCTCGGGCCCCGTTCTGGCCTGGCCTGGAAGGTCTTGCCACACGGCGTGTCCAGGGCCTGTTGCTTGGGGAGGCCGGCGCTGCTCACTTGGCTTTGGGCCTGGGCCTGAGGCCTGCAGAAGAGACGGTGAGTTACTTGGGCCCAGGGCTCACGTCCAGGACCGGGTCTCATTTCCGGGGCCCAGGGCTCACGTCCAGGACTGGGTCTCACTTCTGGGACCGGGGTTTCAATCTGGGGCCTGGGTCTCACCTCCGGGGTCCAGGCCCACCTGTGCTACCACTGAGGCCAACCCATGGGTCCCCAGCCTGCTCTGACCCCAGGTTCTTGCTGAGGTGGGGCGCATCCAGGTGGTCAGAGGCTAGGGGAGGCCAGCGGGCGGCTCCTGTCCAGGCTGCGCCCCGGTGAGATGTGGTGCCCTCCACGTGGCGGGGTCTGCCTGGCCTGCTCCCCAAGTCTCTGTCCCCCACCTCCGTCCTGCCTGCTCCTTCTCTAGCGGGGTGCTGAGGGCTCCAAGGGCGCTGTGCCCGCAGCCCTGCTGGACAGCCTCAGTTCTGCAGGACCCTTGCCCCCAAGCCCCCTACGCTGGCTGAAGAGCTATCCCCTCTGCCACCCCAGGCTGAGCCGCCTCAGGCTCAGGTTTGAGAACCACTGCTCAAAGGACAGAAAATGAGTTGAGCAGAGATGAACTGTCCAAAGGCCACCGTGAGGGACTTCAGCGTCACCTCACTGCAGGTCACCAGAGAATGGCTGGGCAGACGCACGGGAAGTCCTGGTGAATGGGACCACAGACAGTGCTAAGGAAGGGGGGCCCGGAGATGGAGGGGTCACCCATCCAGGGACGGGGCGGCAGGCCCTGCCGGAGCGGCCTATGCGGAAGGTCCACAGCGACATGGCAGGGGAGGAAGATTGTAGAAGGGACGATGGGTAGGAAATCTCAAGAGCCAGCTGTGTTGTCATAAAGCCCAAAGTGGAGCTGTGGATCCAAGTGGTGGAGCACTCATTAAGAGCAAAAAGAGCTCAAAGGCTCGGAGTTCAAGCCCCGGAATGGACACACAAACTAAGTCTGGAACGTGCTAAAATGAAGGCCAGCAAAGAGCTGTGACATCACACACAGGGTGCACAGTTCTGGACAGCACTCTTCCCAAGAACCCAAAGCACAGGCTACAGGAAATCCTGCGGCCCGGCCAGGAGAGCGGGTGTGCGCCTGTCACCCCAGCCGCACGGTCCCCGCCAGCCCCGGAACAAGGGCTCGAGCCCATCGGAGGAGCACACCCAAGGCGAAAGGGGCCGGTGGCCGTGCTTGAGGCACCGAGTTCAAACCCCAGCACCAGACACGAGAGAGGAAGAAGGCCCTGTGGGGACGGGGTGCGCGGGGGAAGGGTCCCGGCCGAGGTGTCCTGCCCGTCCCACCCATGACCCTACACCTAGCCGACGCCCGAGCCGCCCCAGGAGGGGACAGGCCCATGGCTCGGGCGGGCCGCTCGCCTCAGAGCGGGGCACCAGGCCGCACAGTTCGCTAATTCTGGAAAACGTTGCAGTTGGAGGGGGTGAGGTGAGTTCTTTCTGGTTGCCTTACACATTCCTATCAATTTTTCCAATCAGGAGAAGTTGGGAAAGGAGGAAGAGGCAGCCCTTCTTGGGGGGGTGGGGGGGGAGACTGGGTCACACCTGTCCCCACAGGCTGAGGGAGGAGCAGCCCGGGACAGTGACGCCACTGGACCTCGGCTACAGGTGCCCGCTGGTCCTCCAAGCCACACGAGGTCCCACTGTCTCCCCCCCTCCCCCAGGGAGGAGCGGAGGGAGTGCGAGTCAGCCCAGCTCTGAGAGATGACCCTGCCCTCCTGTGTCAAGGCAGGGGTCCAGGCTCTGCGGGGGTGAAAGCCAGCGCTCGGGCACTGGTGTGGCCTCTGATGTGCCTGCAGACCCCAGTCCTGGGCCTTGCTTCCTGGCTGCTGGCCACGGGCAGCAGGTCTGTGGCGTGAGCCAAACCTAGGGCCACCCTGGGCAGGGCTGGGGTGCTGGGCCCCCACAGCCTGGGTCCAGGTGTAGCTCACCACCGGGCCAGACTCGCTCGACCTCCGCACCCACGTTCCTCCATCTGGGGCAGGCAGATCTGGACCGGCCGGTCCCGCCTTGTCTCTAGCCTCTCACCACAGAAAACAGCCCTGAGGCCCAAGGTGAGAGACGCCAGCTCCCCGGCAGCCCACCGCCTCGGAGGGCGCCGGACGCTCTGGCTCTGTTCCCAGCAGTCTCGGCGGTCTGCCTCCCAGTCTCCCTGGGGACGTACCTGGCCACTGCCTGGGTGACCGGAGGGGTGCGGGGCTCTGGGGCCGGCCCTGTGCTCGGACTTAGAACAGAGCGCCCCCCTCACCTTGGAGAGCTGGGGGTGGGGGAAGCGGGACAGCAGGCGATTAGGACAGGGCCACCCGAGCTGGTCCCGCTGGCCGGGAGGAACTGCCCCCGGCCCCGCACGCTCCCCGCAGAGCCCTGGAGACCAGCCCTGAGGTTGCACAGGAAACCCCGGGTGAGCGAGGGGACAGACAGGCCCCAGCAGGGATGGGACAGCGAAGCCACCACCACCAAGAGCCACAGGAGGGGCCTAGAGAAGCTGGGTTAGCGACCAGGAGGGCGGGCAGGAGGCTCAAACTTGGCACCGCTGCCACCGTTAGTCTACAGAGAGCCAGGCTGGGTACGTACCTCACTGGACGGCACACAGCCTTTTTGTTTTACTATCATCAGAGTCAGGGACAACCTCTGCTTTCAAATGAAAGAAACACACTCAGCAGCTCATTGCCAGCCTCAGCCCGGTGTTTAGACCTGTCCGAGGCAGGCAGCGATGCGCCACCAGACCGGCACCCCAGGCCTGGAGCCAGAGCCAAATAGCGCGGTGCTCAGGGGCACCTGGTGCCAGGCCCGGCCCGACCGGCAGTGAGGGCCAAGGGCCCAAGGCAGGACGGGTGGGTGAGGGGCGCAGGGACACGGGTGCCCCATGTGGCGAGCCGCTGCCCTCTGTGAGCCCAGAATCACCCTCACTCCGAGGCCGGCGGAGCCGGCAGTGCCCCATGGGAGAGGCCGGCTGCATGGCAGGTCCAGGTCCAGGCCCAGGGCCCCGGCGAGGGTGGCGGTAAGCCTTGCCCCTGTGCCCAGATGGCCCGCACCCGGCTCACATGCTCGCCCCCCCAAGTTACCTTCCTGGCTCCTGGAGGGGCGCTTCTTTCTTCGCTTGCTTGTCCCCTTCGAAGTCCGGCCCCGGGCCCTGGGGAGGGTGCCAGACCCCGAAGAGTCCGTCACCGCGTCTTCAGAGAAGGACTTGTCCAGGGACGTGTCCAGCGCGGACTCTGGGGCCGTGTCCTCTTCATCCTCGTCTCCACGAGGGCTGGGGCTGGCGCGGCAGGGGCCGGGGCCGTGGGCAGCAGCGTCCGCTGGCCCCCCACTCATGCTGTGAGCCTCAGCCTGGTGGACGCTGGGCGAGTCCGCGCGCTGCTCTGCGTCCTGGGGGGCGCCCTGGGCGCTGGGGGCCGTGTCGCTGAACTGGATGGGTTGCAGGGCCTGAGAGTCTCCCAGAGTCACTGGCCAGGCCCCCTGGGGGGGCTGGAGGCTCAGGGCGTCTTCAGGGATCAGGACCTCACTGGCATCGACGTACCAAGAGGACTGTCTCTCCAGGGCTGGGGGCCCGTCATCCTGCCCGGGGCTCACGGCATCCACCAGGTCCCAGCCCTTCGGCTCGGCAGCCGCGGTGGCACCCGGGCCAGGCTCCACCGCAGCGCAACCCGTGCTGGCTGTGGGGCCCCGCACAGGCTCCGTAGCGGCCACTGTGGGTGGAAGGTGCTGTCAGGGCCTGGCTCTGAGTGTCTAAGCCTTGATCCTCGGCTACATCTGACTCCTCTGGACCCCAGACTCAGGGCTCCCACGCTGTCTAGGCATAGTGGATTGGGGGACACACGGGCAGCCACGGATGCCACGCCTGACCACAGACCCCATAGTCACCGGTGCCCTGTCCACCTCAGGGGCTCTGAGCCCCAGGGACACCTCTCTATGGGCAGTATTTGAGGACCAGGGTGACAATCACACTGGCCACAGAGCTCTGTCAGCGCTGTCCCAACCCCGGGCTGTCCCTTCTCAGGGCCCAGGCCACGGGAGCTCCCGCAGGGCTTCCTGGAGGAAGGGGCAGGTCAGGGTCTCACCAGGCTCTGTGGCCCGAGGGGGGTCAGCTGCGGGCCCCCTGCTGCTGCTCTCTGAGTCTCCCCGGCCGCCGCAGCCGCCGCCGCCGCGGGTGGTCTTCCGCAGCTGGAAGCCTTTCCTGATGTCGGCCAGCAGGGCGTCGATGACACACACCTCCTCCTGCTTCCCGAGCCCCTTCCTCACTGCGGGGCCAGAGCCTCAGAGAGCTGCCGGGGCCTGGCGCCCACCCCACGGCCCCCGAAGGGGCGGGGGCCAGCGGCCCACCCCTTCCTCATCTGGGCTCCCAGACCCCATCTCGCCCCAGCCTCACCGGGCTTCCCGTCCTCGCCCTTCGGCCTCCGAGCCTCCCCCTCTGCCTGCTGCCGCCTCCGCCTCTCCGCCTTTGCCAGTTGCTCCTTCCGGTCCTTGTTCTCCTGCTCAGGCAGGGCAAGTCTTGTTCCCGTGGCCCCCCAGCCGCTGCCCACCCGGTGCGCCCAGGCGCGGGCGTGGGAGGGGGGCCCTGGCGGTGCAGCAGGGCTGGCCGAGGGATGGGCAAGGCCACGGCTCACACAGCCACACCCACCGCCACCCTGGACTGGGGCAGGGGCCCCCCTCTGACCTCCGCCGCCCTGGCCTCGCCTGGCCCACCTTCAGGGCCCGGGTGAAGAGGTCCTGGAAGGCCTTCATGGTGCAGAATGTGTCCTCCAGGGACAGCTGCAGGGGCTCCTCACACAGGTAGTCCGCCAGCGCCAGCTTCTTCTGCTCGATGGCCTGGAACACCGCGTCCAGAGCCCTGGAGGCCGCGATGCTGGCCTGCGAGTACAGCCCCGGTCACCTCCCGGTGCTCCGTGGCTGGTGGCCGGGGGCAGGCGGAGCCCTGGGACCCTCAGATGGGGCCCCCAGGCAGAGGGCTGGTGCAGCACACAGGGGAGGGGGGGCGCGGTCAGCCGCTGTCCCTGGGGTCTCTGCTCTGCTCACCCTGCTCACCTCAGCTAGCCCTTTCTGCCTGGCAGGACACAGGTTCAAGGCTGCCCCTCAGTCCACCCAGCAGCCATTTTCCTTTCTGCCAGCCTGGGGGCCCCTTTCTCCCAGCTTGCCTTCAAGCGTTCAGTGTACTGCTCTTGCACCTCCGGGACTGACGCGGTCACCTTCCGCTCTGTCTCTAGAAGCTTCTTCAGGTTGGCACTGGCCTCTGAGCGAATGATCTCCAAGTTGATCCTGAAAGGCACCAGGGCTGGGGCTGCACTGGGGGACAGCTGGTGCCCAGCCACTACTGGCCCCCGGCTTTCGTACTACAGGGGCCAGACATGGGGGCCGGAGTAGGGAGAGCGGGCGCTCACTGCAGAGGCCAGCTGCTCACGGTGGGTCTGCTCCCAGCAGCTCCGGGCCAACAGAGCCTGGAAACAGCTCCGGTGGGGGACACATGCCGTGGCTCTCGGAGAGCCAGGAAGGCATCGCGACTTTCCTGGGCCTGTTTCCACACCTGCACCGTGGAGCGCATGATGTGCTCACAGCCCAGTGCAGAGGCCGCACCAGAGCACGGGACCTGGCCCCCGCTTCGTGTCTGTTTAAGCCATGTGGGGGCAGGCCTTAAGAGTCAGACTTCTATGGGATACGAGGTCTGGGGGACACGGGACTGTACCATAGCTTGGTGACCAGCCCCGACCAGCGAAGTGACCGGGACCAGAGGCTGGGGCTTTGGGCTGCTTTCCAGCTGCTGGCACTACGTACCCTGCGGCCTGGGCGGGCAGCTCCAGGTCCTGGGGCAGCTGCAGGAGGTCCGGGTGGCTCTTCTCCACCTCCTGCCACAGGACGTGTCCGTGAGACCCACACTGGTCCTGCCCAGACCTGGGGACACCTCACCGGGACCTGGGGGCACCCTGCCCAGTTTGAGCCCCTTAGTGCCTGGGCTGCCCAGGTCCAGGCTTGGCTCTAAGCTTTTCCTTTTCTAAGGTGTCCCACTCCAGGGGCAGGTGTCGGGGAGCGGAGGGGCTGCAGGAGGAGGGCAGTGGGGAGGGCAGGAGGGGCAAAGGCCCAGCTCAAGCTGAGGCCCGGCTGGGGACAGGCTGGGGTCCCCGTGTGGCCCACCTCCAGCACGTGGTGCAGCAGGGTCACCCGGCTCTGCTGGGACTTGGTCTCCGTGAGTTTCAACAGTGTGCTGATCTTGAAGCCTTCGGCATTACCTGTGTGGCTGCCCTGCGGGGGGGGGGGCGGGGGGCAGGGTGAGTCTCCTGGCTCTGAGGGAGCGGGGTGGGCGCTAGGGCAGCCTGACTCACATAGTTGAGGAAATTCCCGATCTTCAGGATCAGCTGGCAGAAGATGGGCAGCCGGTGACTGGTGAGCAGGCCTGTGAGTGGCAGGCAGGGGTGAGGATGGACGGGGACCCAGCCCCTCCTCAGGCTCAGCCCAGCACCAAGAACGGCATGGGCCAGGGAGGTGGGGCGTGTGGACCCTTCACCCCAACTGGCTCAGTGTCAGTGCTCATCAGACCCACAGCTCTGGGCTGGGATGGCCATAGACCATTCTCTGGGTATGGACATAGGGTGCTGAGAACCTTCTGGAAACTGGCCACTCTGGTTTTCGGTGGCCACTCCCTGGAGCTGCAGAGGGTCCCCCTGACTGAAGCAGCTGAGACCACGGTGGGTGTCTGATAAAGGTCGCCCTGGGTCGCCTGGACCTGTCTGCAGCCTGTCCTGTGGCCAGGAGGGTCCCAGCTGCCTTCTTCACAGGCAGCGTGCGTGCTCACGCACATGCGTGTCAGCACATGCGCGCGCACACATGGTGTCTGCATGTTGTGTGTGTGAGGCTCAGCATGCACACAAGTGTGTACCTGCACACCTGCATGGTGTGTGCATGAGGCGTAGTGTGTAGCCATGCTGGTGTCTATGTGGTGTATGGGCTAAGCGTGCACGCGGGCATGTTTGCATGCGCACGAGGCTAGATGTGCACACACGCCAGTGTCTGCATGGTGTATGTGTATGAAGCTGAGCATACACGCAGACATGTATAGGGTGTGTACATAAGGCTGTGTGCATGCAGGTGTGTGCATGTGGTATGTACATGAGGCTGTGTGCATGCAGGCGTGTACATAAGGCTGTGTGCATGCAGGTGTGTGCATGTGGTATGTACATAAGGCTGTGTGCATGCAGGTGTGTGCATGTGGTGTGTACATAAGGCTGTGTGCATGCAGGTGTGTGCATGTGGTGTGTACATAAGGCTGTGTGCATGCAGGTGTGTGCATGTGGTATGTACATGAGGCTGTGTGCATGTGTGTCTGCATTGGTGTGTAAGGCTGAGCATGTACAAATGCATGTCTGTACATGAGACTGAGCGTACACACAAATGTATGTTGTGTGAGACTGAGCTTGCACACAGGTGTGTATAAATGGTGTGTGTACATGAGGAAGAGTGTGCATTCAGGTGTGTCTGCATGGTGTATGAGGTTGAGCGTACACGTGTGTGTGCGTGTGCATGCGTGTGCGCGCTCTGCGTGGCATGGTGACCGTGGGCCCTGGCGATGTGGTAGTTGGCAGGCTCAGGCCCTCTCAGTGACTGGTGACTGGCTGCGTGGGGGCCAGGCCTGCCCCTCCTGCCCCCCCTCCACCCCCCCCCCGCCTTCCTGAGCCCCGCTCACTCTTGCAGGCGGCGAGCACCAGCTGGGCCTTGGGCCGCACCATGTCCAGTATGACGGCCGTGCCTTCACACAGCAGCATGCACTCCACCCTCAGCTGGTAGCTGGAAGGGACAGCAGGGGGTCAGGAGGAGGCTCACCATGGTCCAGCTCAGTTCCACGACACCATCCCAGCTGCCCCCGGATGAGGGCCTGCCCTTGGAGAGGGAGCTGAGGGCCACGCGTGCATGGTGTCTGGGAACCAGACCGACCGCTGCCTTGCTGCTTCCAGAGCCCAGGAGCCCCAGGACACCCACTGGCTCCAGCCTCACCCCCTTCCCTCCCCACGGGCTGTGCTCACCAGGGGATGTCCAGCAGGAGGAGGTAGAACTGGTCCGCACTGGCCAGCCTGGCTCGCTCTTCTGTGAATGCCCGCAGGTTCTCCATCTGCTGGGCGGAGGCCCACGTGTGGAGTCCCAAGGCAACTGTCCAGGACCCTACCCACCTCCAGAAGCCCGGCCACTGGCCACGGCCACCGCCTCCTCCTGCTGTCTCCTGCACAGCTGGCCGGGTCTCCTACCTCAGCTGCCGCCCAGGCTGGCTGGAGCGCAGGCTCACCTCGTGTTTCTCTGGAAGGAGCTTCAGGAGTTGTTTGAGTATCTCTACATCAAACCTGGTGGTGTCTCCAGCCCGGAGCAAGGCGGTGACTTCCTCATTGGAGCTGGAGAGGGAAGGGGACGAGGGTCAGGGGGCAGGGCGTAGCCGCTCCATGTCTGCCTCCCTCCAAGGGGCCTCCAGGAAGCGGGGCAGTTGAAGGGCAGCCAGGAAGTTTCCTGGCAAGGGTCAATGCCCAATACCTCCAGCATGGAAGGCCTTGGAGCACAGGAAGCAGGGTCCAGACCTCACCTTCGCTTGGCCAACCCCAACCACTCTCTGGGTCTCAGTCTCCCCAGAAGCCTGTGCCGGCGACCTTGGCTAGGGCAATCGATGGCCCCCCTGACCCCAGCGTCCACCCTAGGGATGTAGCATGCACTGCCCAGAGAGGCCTGCAGAGGGCACTGCCGGGCTGAGCTGGGCTGCGGCCCTCACCACTTAAACTGCTTCAGGAAGATGTTGAGGTTCAGGCTCTTCTTGGAGTCCAGAAAAGTGACCTGGAAAACCCGCCCGGCTGGTACCTGGAGAGAGGCACGGGCGGCCCCCCGCGGCCCAGCACACCCCAGCCCACCTCCTTGGGCTCCTTCCTGGCAGGGGCAGCTGAGGGTTCCTTGGGCTTGGCCACAGGGAAGCAGAAGAGCCGCTCAATGCTGGAGAAGTCAGGCTCCACCACCTCAGTACCCGGGCCGCTCAGCGTGGCCCACATGGAGTTGTGCTCTGTGGAGGAGGGGAGGGTGGGCGCGCCACCCGGGCCCCTGAGGATGGGAGGACCGTCCTGCTGGAGCCCAGCCCGGCCGGCCCTCCGGCAGGACCTCCCTGTGCAGGCCTGCGTGCCCCGCGGGCTTGGGCCGCTCCAGGGCCGTGCACCTGGGCAGGGCTGCGGCCCATGAGTGGGAGCCTGATGCGGTGGTTCTGGGAGGCGGCCTGCCTGCCATGCCCCCACCCCCCGCCCCGTCTGCCGGAGTCCTGTGCCCAGCAGGGCAGACGCAGGGCGGGCAGGCAGGGCTGTGCCCCTCAGAGGGGCGGCCTCACCTCGGGCCACGTTGGAGGGCAGCTTCTGCCAGTTGAGCTTCTTCATGCGCAGAGTGGGCGCTTTCACGCGGAGGTGGCTGGGGACCCAGGCCGAGCCCAGACTGTGGTCCACCTGGGCCACGATGACATCCTCCACTCCGCCGGCCAAGGAGGAGGCACTGGGCAGCGGGGGAGGCAGAGGGGGACCCCCAACACCAGGCAGTGGGGGAGGGGGTGGGGGCAAGGGCCCGGTGCCTGGGAGTGGGGGAGGGGGTGGGGGCAAGGGCCCGGTGCCTGGGAACGGGGGAGGGGGTGGGGGCAAGGGCCCGGTGCCTGGGAACGGGGGAGGGGGTGGGGGCAGGGCCTGGCGGCACCCTGGTAGAAATGGGGGTGGCAGAGGTATTGAAGTAAATGTTCCCCCCAGGCCTGGCAGCGGGGGTGGGGGTGGGGGTGGAGGAGGGGGGGGGGCCTGAGGCTGGATGATGGAGGGGGGGGGACGTGGGAGAGGGAGGCCGGCTCAACGCCGGCTGATCTGGCTGTGGAGCCATGGGGCCACCGCTGGTCTGAGCGCTGGGCGCGCGCTGGCAGACGGGAGCCGCGGCCGACTGTGGCCCCTCGAGGGCAGTCACGTCTCCAGGGCTTGGGCCCAGGTTAGCCTGGACACTCTTGTGGGCCTTGTCCTGCGGGCTGGGTCGAGGCCGGCCTTTAAGGGACAGAAGCCGTTCGACCACCTCCTCCAAGGGGCTCTCCTGGGCTAAAGGGGAGAGATGTCCAGGGTCAGGGAGCGGGCTCGGAGGTGGAGGAGCGAGGGGTCCCGGCCGGGGCCCCCACACGCCCCTCTGCACCCCGCCAGCCTCCACTCACCGTCGCCGGCCAGGAGCACGGCCCGGTTCACCAGGCTCTCCAGCGCCTCCCAGAGCAGCTGGCCTGGGGGGCGGGTGGGCTCCAGGTGCAGGAGGCCCTGCAGCATGGAGAGCAGCTGGGCTGAGGCGGGGGAGCAGCTCACCTGGGGGAGGCGCCACGGAGGGGCAGGTCAGGGGGGGAGGGCTGCCAGGGGCCCACCGGCCGCTCTCCCCCAGGCAGACCCACTGGCCGACGAGCCCCCCTTCACCTTGCCAGAGCCCTGGTGACTTGTAGCTCAGGGACAGGCTCTGACTACGCTCCGGGAACAGGGGACACTGCTGTGTTGCGGGACATTAAATGGCGTCTCTGGTCTCCATTCATGGGAGCCAGCAGCACGCCCCCCACAGTGACATTGCCAGGTCACACCAGGGTACAGATTACCTCCCCGATGAGAACCTCTGGCACCGCCCCAGCCCCCAGCCCTCAGGGGGCCCCAAGTTCCACAAAGCCCCGACACTGGCCAGCTGGCCGAGGTCCAGCACAGGATGGCCGCTGGGGCGGTGCTGGCCTCTGACACTGTCCTGGGCCCTGCAGCCTGGGCCTTGCACCTCCCGTCAGTCCAGCTCTGTGCTGGCCAGTGGAGGCGGGGTCTGGGGCCACGCCAGGCCCAGCCCTCCCGGGGGGGGGCCCACCTTGTGGAAGAGCGAGGCGAAGACCTCCTGGTGGCTGCTCATGTCCAGGCCCCCGCAGCTGCGCTGCAGCTCCTCCTCATCCTCAGCCCTGGCCTCCTCGAAGGCTTCCAGCTGGATCAGCAGGTCGGCATCCTCTAGGTCCCTGTGGCAGAGGTCCGCGTTGCTCCCACGGCCCCGCCCCCTTGGGGGTGGGGTGGGGCAGGCCCTGGGAGGACCCCGGACCGGGCTCCTACACAGGCCGGTGGCCACGCTGGCACACGGCACCACAGCGGGGTGGCATTCTGAGATTCTCAAGGGGCAGGTACGGATAGGGGCGGAAGAGCTGGTCAAGGCCACACCCGGGCAGGGGGTCCACAGGGCGCCAGAGGCACGGGGAGGGGCAGGGCCTGGCTGTGCACTGGGCCCAGGTCCCACCACCATGTTATCTTGGCCAGTGAGTGGAGCCTTTGGCAGGCATCCGCCCGCAGGGCCCAGGGCAGGGCCTCACTCCCAGAGCAGACGGTGGTGCAGGTTAGGTTGTCAGCAAGGTGGAGACCCCACAGGGCTTCCAGATTCACAACCACAGCCACAAAACACGCGCGGCACCAAGTGTCAGACATAGCCCAGCACAGTCTATCCCGTGAGACGTCCAGGTGATACGTTCACAGGTGACTGTGGTGTGTGACTGGGTCTCCCTGACGTCTGTCTCTGGGCCTGGCCCAGCCCCCGGGAGTCACTCCTGGAAGCCACCTCCCTGCTCATCTGGGGGAAACACTTAGGCCAGGCAGTGGGACACGGAAGAGGGTTTTGGAGCAAGGGGACAGCTGGCAGGACTCACCGTAGCCGGGTCAGAATGTCCAGCAGCTGCAGCCCTGGAGAGGGTCAGAGTCAGATCAGAGCTCTGGGGGCTGCTCTGGGCACTGCAGCTTCGTTTGCTTGTTTTAATTCTTCCTTCCTTTTTCCCTCCCTCCCCCTCCTCTCCCTTCTTGCAGTACTGACATTTTTTTTTTGTTGGGGTGGGGGAGGTCGGTCGTGGGGCTTGAACTCGGCCTGGGCGCTGTCCCTCAGCTCTTCAGCTCAAGGCTAGCGCTCTACCACTTGAGCCACAGCGCCACTTCCGGCCTTTTCTGCTTATGTGGTGCTGAGGAATAGAACCAGGGCCTCGTGCATGCAGGGCAAGCGCTCTACCCCTGAGCCACTTCCCAGCCCAGTACTGACACTGGAATGCAGGGCCTCAGCAAGGCAAGCATTCTACACTTAAGCCATGTCCCCAGCCTCCTGGTCTTTACTTTTCAGATAGTTTCAAGCTTCCGCCCAGGGGGCAGACTGAGACCCTCTACTTACTTTCATAGCTAGGATTATAAACATGTGACACCACGCCCAGCCTGCTTTATAAGATAAAATCTATCCTTTTCTCTTCCTTCTTTTTTCTTTAACGTCTGACTTTGAACTGCAATCCTCCCTTCTCCATTTGCTAAGAAGCCGAGATTATAGGCATAAGCCTCCATCGCTTATATCTCGGATTTAACTCTTTCACCCTCCCACCGCGCCTAGCACCACCTCAGACTCTGGAGTCTTGACGCTCCACAGGGGCCACGTGCTGGGCTCAGAGCGGTATTGCTGAGTGGTCACCTAGAGGGGACACGGCTGGACCTGGGGTCAGGCCCTCTGCCTCCCTCCGCCACCCCGCCGCCTTTGGATGGAGTCTGGGACACTCCCAGTGGGAGCAGGGGAGGTCCTCAGCTCCCAGGAGCAGCAGGCAGGGAGGAGGCGGCACTGGGCAGGCCTGAGCACTGCGGTGTGGCTGGCAGGGTTACCGATGAACTCGCCCCGCAGCTGGGTCCGGGTGCGGAGGGCCTCGGGGCCCAGGATGATGGCGTTGACCACGCTGAGCAGGGTGACCACGTAGGGTACGTTGTCACTGTCAGAGAGCTCGTTCATGATGACGCTGAAGCGGTACTGCTGGCTGCACACCGTCTGTGGGGTGGGCAGAGTCAGGGCGGGCCCAGGAGGGAGGCCATGCCAGCCCGCGCCAGGTCCTCACGGCTCACCTTGTAATGATCCAGGGCATCCAGTGTAAGTGCGTGGCCCTCAGGGGAGTAGATGCACAGGGCGGCCAGTAGCTCAAACACCTGCTTCTTGACCATCATGTTGGATGTGTCCAGGGCTGTGGAGGGATGAGGGGGGCAGCAGGCTCTCTGAGTCCCCCTCAGTGCCCAGCCCTTCTGGGCACCGAGCTCACAGCTGGACTGCCGCCGGTGGGCACTCCCAAGCCTGGCAGGGGCCACAGGGGTGGGGTGTCCACGAGGGCCCCACAGCCCCCCCCCTCCCGGCCACGTCCCCACACCGTGGCCGCGGCTCACCGAGAGAGAGCTGGCGCACGTAGCCCTGGTTGCTGAGGATGTACTCGATGCCCTGCTGCGAGTTCATGACGGCACGCACGCAGCTGATGCAGGTGAGCTGCAGCAGGGCGTCCGAGATGCGGGCCACGCCGCGGCCTGACAGCCGCGCCAGCGCCGTCAGCAGCAGGTCCAGGCCACTCTGCTCCAGGAACTGCACCATCCAACCGCCATCGCTGCTCTCCAGGCGCTTGTGCAGGCCGGAGTAGTTGACCACGGAGGGCATCTGCAGCAGCCGGATGCACAGCTCGGGGTCGGCGTTCTCCAGGTTGGCCTCGGTGGGGTCCGAGTCCTGCGGCCCCAGCTTTTCCTTCAGTGCCGCCCACTTGCGCTGGGCACCCTCCTTCACCGACATCTTGCCAAACTGTGGGGCCAGAGAGAGACAGGGGCGTCAGTCCAGTCAGGGGGATGGCTAAGCCCCAGAGGCCAGGGCTCAGCTGGCTGCCAACGGCACGCAGAGCACCGTCTACTGCCTCGGTTTCTCCACTGGGCTGACACGCTGTGACACGAGGTTGCCGTGGCCCCTGGTTTCCGGCCCTGGGCGGGTGGGTGCCCCACGTGCACAGGACGGTGGGCTCCAGCGGGGCTGTCCTTTCAGGTCTGGAGCAGGGGCGAGGCCTGGGGCGCCATGCTGGCTGAAACGTCACCGCCACCGTGATGGCGGTGCCCGGACGCGCCATCCTGAGGCTCTCATCTCCGCCAGGCCGTCCCTGGCGGCCACAGCTCAGGAGTGAGCCGGGAGGGTGCGGCACAGGGCAGGCTGGGGACCCTGTGTGGCCGAGCGCCCGGGCTTCCCCCGTGTGGCGGCCGCCCTGCCCGCTGCCCTCACCTCGCGTGTCTGGGTGGGAGGGTGGGGGCACTTGGCACCGACAAGCCTGGTCCTCGGCACATCTAGTTTTACCTGACTCCTGCCCAGGGACAGGAGAACAGGCCTGGCCCAGAATGTTCTCCCAACACATGCTTTTCCCTAAAACAGGGCCGTGGGACAGGCAGACTGGGGCCTCCTGGGGTCCTGCTCTGGGCCTGCCCAGTGCTGTGCTGCCCTGCCGCTGCCCCTGGGGACAGCGTGAAAGGCCAGGCGCGTCCCAGGCTCTCCCACGCCATGTTTGGCTGGGACCTGATACTTGGCGGCTGAGAAGCCCAGCGTGGGGTGCAGGGGAGGCTCAGAGGCTGAGGCTTGCACTCACCACGGGTCCCCCACAGCCACCTCTTGCAAGGCAGGAGAGAACTGGGGAACTAGAGGTGGTACCAGGGAGCCCCGATGCCTGTCCTGCTGAGCACCTGAGCTGTGCCGGGGGCCCTGAACCCGCTGAATGCTGGGGGCCCCGGGGGGGCCTGAACCTGCTGAATGCCGGGGGCCCCGGGGTGGCCCTGAACCCACTGAATGCCAGGGGACCCCACGATGGCCCTGAACCCGCTGAATGCCGGGGGCCCCGGGGGGCCTGAACCTGCTGAATGCTGGGGGCCCGGGGGTGGCCCTGAACCCACTAAATGCCAGGGGACCCCACGATGGCCCTGAACCCACTGAATGCCGGGGGCCCCGGGGGGGCCTGAACCCGCTGAATGTCAGGGGACCCCACGATGGCCCTGAACCCGCTGAATGCCAGGGGCCCCGGGGGGCCTGAACCCGCTGAATGCCGGGGGCCCCAGGGGGGCCTGAACCTGCTGAATGCCGGGGGCCCCAGGGGGGCCTGAACCTGCTGAATGCTGGGGGACCCCATGGTGGCCCTGAACTCGCTGAATGCTGGGGGCCCGGGGGTGGCCCTGAACCTGCTGAATGCTGGGGGCCCGGGGGTGGCCCTGAACCTGCTGAGTGCTGGGGGCCCGGGGGGGCCTGAACCTGCTGAGTGCTGGGGGCCCGGGGGTGGCCCTGAACCTGCTGAATGCTGGGGGCCCGGGGGGGCCTGAACCTGCTGAGTGCTGGGGGCCCGGGGGGGCCTGAACCTGCTGAGTGCTGGGGGCCCGGGGGGGCCTGAACCTGCTGAGTGCTGGGGGCCCGGGGGGGCCCTGAACCTGCTGAGTGCTGGGGGCCCGGGGGGGCCTGAACCTGCTGAGTGCTGGGGGCCCGGGGGGGGCCTGAACCTGCTGAGTACTGGGGGTCCGGCTCAAGTGTGCTCCAAGGGCCGCCAGCCCGGCCGGCTAGAGGACAGCCAGGCCGCGGGGGGTGAGGCCACTAGAACCCAGCTGAGTGGGACTGGGAGCAGGCGTCCTGCCCGCAGGAAGCTGGCCCCTCTGCCTGGGATGCCAGGGCCCAGCCCAGCCCCTCACCACCTGCTCGTCCAACTCCCCTGCGGCCCTGGGGCCTGGTCCTCCTGGCAGCAGCCTGTTTCCTCGCCTGCAATTCTGCGTTCCGCTCTGGGCAGTGGAGCGGTAGGTCTGGCTAGGTGAGGGCTGTTCAGCCCATCCAGGTGCCGCGCCCCAGCTCCCCACGGCCCCAGGCCGAGCCCTGCCAACCACACGCATCACCCTCCACTCACCCAGACATGCAAGACCTTCCTGCTGCCTCTGGCTACCCACTCTGGGCCCTGCCTCCAGCCTCTCATGGCTGCGGACCGCGGGGCTACCAGCCGCTAACTTCCGTCCTGGTCTCTCCCTGGCAGACCCAGCTCCCCCAAGTCCCGGCTCGGCCGCCAGCGCCGGCCACCGTGGGAGCTGGCTGCCTGTCTCTGCACACTCCCCGCCTCCTGTGCCGCCTAAAGAGGCGCCTGGAACGCGGCTCCCTCCCCGGCCTCAGCCTCCCTTGGCTCCAGGCCCTGCCGTCCCCCTGACACAGGCTGAGGGCACAGGGCACGGCCTCTCCCAGGCCAGCCCTCTCGTGTCCACAGTGCTCCTGCCTCCCCCTCCTGAAAGGCCCAACCGGCGGGAGCCCCGGGGTGGGGCTCAGCCTGGGCAGGTGGGTCCTGGCTGCCTGGCCTCCCGGGGCCCACGGGCAGCCTGGTCCACCTCTTTGCAGGATGGCACCGAGTGCACACACACGGACAACAGACAACCAACAGAGCCACGGCACTCTGACCTCTGGTGTGCAGCAACCAGCCAGAAAAGCAGACGTAACGGTAGCAATGGGCCCTGACAGCTGGCAGGAGCAATGATCGACGGCTTCTATATTTCCTTAGTTCTCCAACTCAGGGCCAGGAAGAAAGGCAACTCCCCTGCGCAACAGGAGGCCCACGTCCGCCTGGCCTCCAATGAGGACCTCTCAGAACCTGCCTGCCTTTGGTCTCCACCAAACGCAAGGGCTGAAGGCCAGGCCAGGCCCCCAGCCTGTGCCTGCCCCACGGGGCGGTGGCTGCACATTTGCCTCGCGGCATGAGGGAGCCAGCTTGCTGACCTGGGGTGCCGGGGGCTGCGGGGAGCCCCGTTTGTCCTCCTCTGCTCGGGAGGCTGCTGTGGGACCCCCATGTAGGAACTGGAGATAGGGGGTAAAGAGGGGACACCGGGGGCCGCGTACCACCTTGGAGAACACCCAGCCCTTCCTGTCAGTCCAGGCGGAGCTGGGGCAGGGCACCAGGTGGGGAGCAGACGGAGCTCAGCGCAGGGATCTGTGCTTGTAGACGTTCCTCAGTTCCCGCTGTAACCCACAGGGAACGACAGAATCTGGGCTGGGCAGCCAGATCCAGACTCAGACAGCTGGGAGTCGGGTGCTGAGAAGTGTCTCATTTGCCCATGGAGCCCCTCCAGGCCCCCTGACCTCCGTGGACAGGGCCTCTGAGGTGAGGCCTGAGGCTGGGCTCAGGGCAGCTTGCCCCATTGGCTTTTGTTCTCCATGGGTCTCTTTTTCTGAGACAGGCCCAGGCTGGATTTTGGGGACAGGGCCTCCCTCAGGGTGTGCGGCGCTGGCTCAGATCTGCGTGCTCAGCAAGCTGTCTGCCTGCACACAGTCCCCCACTCCCACACACACACACTGGCTGCTGGCCAGTCTGGCACGGTGATGCCGGCACCTCCACCCCACATGCCTGGGCAGCGCCTCTGACTCACCGGGACTGCAGAGGCTGCCGCCCCTGCCTGGAAGTCACCCTGCCTGCTAGTCACCGTCTGCTGAGGAGACTGGGCCGGGCCAAAGCGGCCCTTCCACAGATCTCAGGACCACAGAAAACCCGAGCACAGGAGGCTGCTCCACCGGGCATCGAGCTGTGGCACAGCGGGATCTGGCATGGGCACCTTGGGACCAGAGGAAGGTGGCAGTGGGGGTCTCAGCTCCCCTGGAACCTGAATGAGCCACAGGACCCCTAAGCTCTAGAGTTCTCTGCAGCATAAGAAAACCAGCCCCGGACTCTAGGAGCCACTGCATAGGCAGGGGAGGCGCAGGAGCGCGGGCACGGGGGCGAGGTTGGGGGCGCAGGAGCACGTGCAGGGGGAGGTTGGGGGCGCAGGAGCACGTGCAGGGGGAGGTTGGGGGCGCAGGAGCACGTGCAGGGGGAGGTTGGGGGCGCAGGAGCGCGGGCATGGGGGGGAGGTTGGAGGCGCAGGAGCACGTGCAGGGGGAGGTGGGAGGTGCAGGAGCACGGGCATGGGGGGGAGGTTGGAGGCACAGGAGCACGGGCGGGGGGGGTGGAGGCGCAGGAGCACAAGCACAGGGTGGGGGGGGCAGGAGCGTGGGCACGGGGGGGGGCAGGAGAGTGGGCAAGAGGGGTGGCGCAGGAACACGGGCACCCGGGGTAGGCGCAGGAGCGCGGGCACGGGGGGAGGCGCAGGAACACGGGCACCCGGGGTAGGCGCAGGAGCGCGGGCACGGGGGGATGCGCAGGAGCCCGGGCACGGGGGGGGAGGGGAAGGTGCAGGAGCGCGGGCACGGGGGAGGCGCAGGAGCGCGGGCACGGGGAGGGGAGGCGCAGGAGCGCGGGCACGGGGGGAGGCGCAGGAGCCCGGGCACGGGGGGGGAGGGGAAGGTGCAGGAGCGCGGGCACGGGGGAGGCGCAGGAGCGCGGGCACGGGGGGGAGGCGCAGGAGCGCGGGGAAGGGGCAGGAGCACGTGTAAGGAAACCACAAGCATGTGTGCATGGGAAAGAGGTCCTGGGATGTTCTCTGGTCTAGGCTCCCCATGAGAAGCTGGCTGGGCCCTGGAAAGCAGGACCCCTCTCCGCCCCACCCCTGCAGACCCTGCTGTGGCAAGGGCCTCAGGGCCGGAGCAGGACAGGGGGAGGGCCGTGCCGGCCCCGGGGGGGGGGGGCATTCCCCATGGGAGTCGGGAGGGGTCCTGCAGCGCAGCACGGGAGCTGGGTTGCTTCTGGGCCTAGTGCCAGGAGCGGGGACACGAAGGAGGAGCGCGTCTCCTGCGGGTGGGCGGGGAACCGGGACGCAGGGGCTGCCACACTGTATTTTTAGCTTCTCCAAGAGCCCAAATTTTTCCACTGCCTGGCAACCCTTGGCTCTCT